CAACGCAGCGCCAACAGCTACGAGGAGTCTTTTGAGCGGGCAATTAATGACATTTTAAATTTGGCCTTTCTGGAAGCTTGAAGGGCATTTTGAAGGAGCTTGAAATGCAAGTTGGCAAGGTAAGCGGCGGCGTTGCAGTTTGCCCTGAAGACTTCATTTTGCTATTTTGAGGAAGCTTGTAGGTGCGGCGTTGAAGTTTGCCCTGAAGACTTTATTTTGCTATTTTGAGAAAGCTCAAGGGGCGGAGTTGCAGTTTGCCTTTAAGAAAGCTTGAAGGGCAGTTTACTGGGGCGAGGCAGTGGGGGAAATTAAAATTGCAAAATCGTAAGGGGTTTGGGGTATTTTTTGGCTCCGCGGAAGGGTTCTAGAAGGCTTCTGGGAAGCTTCTGGAGGGCTTCTGGCACGTGGTTTGGGGCGGCGTTGCAGTTTGCCCTTAAAGAAACTTGAAGGGCAGTTTACCAAGGCGAGGCAGTGGGGGGAATCAAAATCGCAAAATCGTAAGGGGTTTGGGGTATTTCGGGTCCGCGGAAGGCTTCTGGAAGGCTCCTGGAGGGCTTCTGGAGGGCTTCTGGCACGTGGCATGGGGCGGGTCGCGCCCCCTAGGGCGTGGGCGGCGCGTCAGAGGTCCCCGGCGAGGCGTGAGCGGCGGTGTTGAGGTCCCTTTTGAAGGGCAAGCGGCGGTGTTGAGGTACCTGTTGAAGTGCAAGGTTTGAGGTTGAAGTCCAAGTTGAAGCGGCCTTTAGCATATCCCGCCGGCGGGATATGTTAAGGGGTCGCCTAGCGGTGCGCGGCCGGTGAGGAGTGCGGGGTGGAGTACGGTCGGCGCGGGGGGCGCCGTCGAGGAGGCCCGGTCCGGACGGCGCGACGGGCGGCGGGCTCACGGCTCGTCCTCGTCGTGGACGACGGCGGCCTCGAGGGCGAGGGAGGCGCGGCGCGCGGTCTTGGCCGTCTGCTTGGCGGGCGCGGCCGCCGCGGCGAAGTCGGCGACGGCGTCGGCGATGGCGTCGACCCAGCGCGTGCGGATGACGAGCGACGCGGCGTGGAAGTACTTGGGCCCCGCGGCGAAGGACTCGTGGGCGACGTGGAACGCGTAGACCTTGCCCGTCGGCGCGGCCGCGTCGTCGCGGCACACGGCGCAGCCCTCGAGGACGACGCGCATGGTCGACCCCCGCGCGGCCCACTCGAGGCAGGGCCCGGCGTCCGCGTCGACCACGAGCGCGAAGTGGAACTTCTTCCACGCCATTTTCTCCTTGCCCAGCAGCGACTTGACCTTGGTCTTGTAGAAGAGCTCGCCCTCGAGCGCGGGCGCCGCGTCGTCGCGCTCGGCCTCGGCGTCCGCGACGGCCTTGGCCATCATGATGGACGTGCGCCGCGACTTCTTCGCCGCGGGCGCGAGCTTCTCGAGCGCGGCGGCGTGGCGCCCGACCTCGGCAGCATGGCGTCGACCCAGGCGTCGCGCTCCTCGGCCGAGGCCGCGGCGAGCGCGTAGGGCCGCGCGCTCGACACCTCGAAGACGTGCGCCGCGCCGCCGCGCTTCGCCGCGGCGGCGACGCCGCAGCCGTCGAGGAGCACGGCGCCCTTGAAGTGCGCGCCGGACCTAGCGGGGGCGGCGGGGTCGGAGGACGCCGCCGCGTCCCCCGGCGCGCTC